GGGTGCTGGCTAAAACACACTACCCCAGAACTTTGCCCAAACTGATGAGTTCCAAAAGACCAACTTAAACAGATGAATTTAAACACAACTCATTTGCTTGGGTATGCTGCTACATTAACAGGTGTAACTGGCTTCCAATTCAAACTGCCCATGAGATAGCTAGTGTCCCATAGCTAGTATGTGGTAAATTTACTTCCAGGACTATTGTAAATTGATTTTCCTACGAGAACAATCCTATATCAAAATCTCCATTAGAAAAATTTCACTGGTAAGTATATTTTAATAGAAAATGTAAAAACCCAAAGATTGCTATTAAATTCCCCAATTTTAATGGTTTTTGCTAAAGTAGAAAAAAGATTTGGAAAAAAAAGCAAACTAAATAATCATATTACACAATATTCAAAGTATAACAAAATCTAATGCATGGAAAACTATGAACCACAGGAATCACAGGAAATCCTGATGTCTTTTAAACAAATAATTTTTTTCGAAATTCACAATGCTTCTCAAGCACTTCACATGATGTCCACTAGAAGGATCATAGAAAACTGTTTTACAGGAGGGGATATGTACTCAGTTCAAATAAAAACAACCAAGCAAACCAAAACCTTAGGCATCCACAAGAACAAGACAGAGGAACAACCACAGATCAGATGTGTGCATGATTTAGCCAATGTCAGACTCTTTTTGAGCATCTCTATAGCACTATAAGAGCATCTGCTCAGCATGTTACAGAACAAACGTCCTCCAGAAGTCAAGTGGTGGATTCCTTTGAACAAGAATTGCATTGGCACTATATGGTATCATTTCATGTGTTTTAATACTATTTTCTGCACACCTGGAACCCTTTCATTTTCTCATTTCCAGATAAGAAGACAGAAGCATACAGCTGTATGAATTTCAGCTATGAATTTCTACCAATTTTGCCAAAAGACCAACTCAGTCTGACTCATCATAGTTGGTCTGTTTGCCTTTAGATTCAAAGAGGAAGGGCTTTTGAACAAAAGAAGGGAAAAGATGGAGAAATAATAGACAAATAATAACCCACTTACTGTAAACACCATAATATTCTGCCTCTTTGGGGAAGCTCCTAACACTTTATTAGTTTATTTTCTTAACAATGAGCAGCCTTAAATTTCCTACCTTTCAACTGTATTCCATAAAAGAATGCAAAAGTTAAACAAGATGATATATGCAATCCTGAAAGTGTCCCCTGTAATGAGGTGTTGGGGATTAGACGTGTCATGGGATAAGAACTGTAAATGAATGATGTCATCTTTCTAATTTGGTGCTGAAATATAAATAAACCACTTCTAATGTTCCTTCTTTTTGGATGCCAGAATGCAGTAAAATGTGCACAAAGAAATGTTAATGTTTTAGTAGATTTCCTTCAGTGTGCCTGTTGTGGAAGCAAAATATATAAGAAATGTGAAATGAGAATTTCTTTTCCACTCAAGTGATCATCAAACTATCCAAACTTTTACATGACTTGTGATTGTCACTAATTTCTTAAAATAATGCTAAATATTTTGTGAAATACTGTTTTTAAAAGCTTTTTGTTTTTATTTGTTAGCTCTTTACAATGATAACTAACATGATTTTGAGGCTGTGATTGTCTTTGCTTTAGATACTGTCACAGTGCTATACTTCCATACTGATCTGTATTTTCCAGGTATGCTTAGCTTTGACTTAAGTACAAAATACAATATGATTTCAAACTTTTAAAAGCAGGACTTTTGAGGAGGATGAACAGAAGGATTTCTGGAGGAGGAACAAAAGTAAAGCCATCCAGAGGAACAATACAATCCTTTTCAGGTCCTTGTAAATCTAACATTACTTCTGTTTGCTTCCCTTGCTAACTCTTTTAATCTTTAGTAGGCTTTGAAATGCCAGGTATACTTTTGTTTGAGGAAGAAATTAATTAACCACATTGGAATCTATTCAGGACCCCAGGGCTTCACACCCCTACACTTACATACAAGCACATACACAAACACACATTTTAGGATGTTGGTTTATCAGACAGACAGTAAATCTTCATGGTCTGGGTCCCATATCAACACATTAGGACACTGCTTCAGTACTGACTGCGAGGGAAAAATATCACCTACTGATTTGGCAATGCCATCATTTCCTGCAATATCTTCATCATACTTGAAAATTTCCTATTCAAGAACATCCAGACCTTTTCTTATATTATTTTTGAAAGGACAATAGATTATTCAATATGACTTTTCTGGATGGTTGGGAAATGCGGTCTTGGAATGTACAATTAATGAAAATTAGCGATGATTGTACACACATTTAAACTGTGCTGTATCTAATTTGCATCATATGTTACTCTGCACAAGTTACTCTGTATCTGAAATGGTTATATAGCTCAAAATTTTATTCACATTTTCCTCTCAAAACTAGTATTATTGATACAGTTTTCCTGAAAATGGAATTTCTCAAAAATTAAATAGCCACAGCTCTGACAACAAAGTTATCATACCAACAGATCTTTTTGAAAACGCCTGGTGAACATGAGGCCCATGGCTGACAAGGAACAGTTTTTAATTTGGATTTATACTAGAAAAGAAAAAAATGTTGACTTGTAAAATGCGAGAATTAATTAACTGCATCTCCTACAGACCACATATAGCCTTATTAGTTTTAGCCCAAACAGTTTTCTCAGATTTTTTTGCTTTAAATTTATTGGCTGTATTCAATAAATACTGCGTCCATTTTGAAATAAAGGAATGATAGAGGAATTAAAAGCAGCTTAAATCTAGGTGCACAGGTATATTAACCCTTAGGGCTTGAAACAGTTGTCTTTGATCATTCAATATCACTATTTGCTAAGCTGTCAAGGTCATGAATGGTATGTGTAACTGAATTTTTAACCCACTTACCAAAGAATTTATGATCTAGCACTGTAAGAAAACTGACAGGTATTTCTTGTCCTCCTAAAATTCTGTTGAGTTTAAGTAAGGATCTACTGAAGTGAAATTAAAGTCTTTGATTGACTGGTAACAGACTAAATAGCTTAACAGCAATCTGTAACTGTAAAACTATAATATTAAACCTGTCTTTTAAAAAAATTTTAGCAAGGTGGCAATAGGGAACTATGCTTTGATCTGTCATCTGGATCAAGTTAACAACAAAACTCTCATGAATGAGGTTCAAATGAGGAAAAATAGTAAGATTTGTTGCTCTGGGATATAGGTGTAATACCATTCAATAGCTATTACTTTCCTTTGGATTTTCTTCTCAATCTCTCTTCACTAAATGGAATTTGAAACATTTCTAGAATATTCACTTTCAACAAGATAGGATTTTCCCCTATATAATATGGGAGGGAGGCAGATATAAGGCCAACGAGCTAACCTGGAAATATCCTGTGGTCTAATTATTAAAGCATGGAATTTAACATCTAGAGACCCACATTCTAGCCTTGATTCTCCAATGGCCTCTTGTTGTCTTCAATGACACAGAACCTCTATTTCTTGCAATCTTGCTATCTGAATATAAGCATGCTAATATTTCCACAAAGCATTTTGAGATCTTCATGAGGCAGACATTTGGTTCTAGTC